TCTGCAACGGATTATTCTTAATACAGGCTATTTAAGTAGCTTAGCTAGAACGTCTAGGACTATAATGTAAAAGGTTATATTTTACGAAATAAATTATTGTTATTAGTCTGTTCAATCGTAGTGGTTTAATCAGTCACCTCGCAGCTTCCTACTACGCTGAGTGTTGTGGGTCAGGTCAACACATGGGACGACACTTTGTGTGATCCAAAAATTGTTGTTGTGGGTCTGGATGACCTTAGTGTCCGTTTCATGAATGTTTATAAAATCCCCCGCGACACAGGATATATTCCTAGAGCGGTAGTTGTCCCAAGACTAGTCTTATATTTTTTTATACAAGTTGTGTATTTGAACAACTGTACTTGCAGTTTATTTGTCATGTAAAAACGTGTTTGGCATAGTTTAGATCTTTATTACATTCGCCCTCGAAAACTACGTTACTTTAAAAGAACTCGCCCAGTTTGTACAATTCTGAGATGCTGCGATTACGGGACTAACTGGAAACCAAGAGGCTTTATTGCATCCAAAACAGGTACAACTGTTAAATAAGCTGGTTTACAAATCGAGGGGGCAAAAGTGTTGTGATGATTTGAAACAGCAGGGAAAACTCGACAACCCGAAAATTCCGAGCCGTACAGAAATCCCCGCAGTGGTAACGGCTGGATGAGGTTTTGAGGAAAAAGAAACTGGATCAAATATATGCGACAATAATGAAATCGCGGCAACCACAATTATATCAATCAGATTCACTATTTTTACGATGACTCATCAATTTATTCAGTTCAATAACCTTTACAAGACTTACGTTTATCGAATGTATAAGCAAACAATGGCCGAAAATAATCGTGATCTCTTCCACCCACTTAATCTGTTAGCGAAAGCTTTCGACTCCAAATCCATTGATTGTAGGTACGTTTTATGGACTTACGAATGATTGTAGTAAACAGAACTGAAAAATAAGTGCGAGTGATGGGCAGGAAGCCGAGATGCATATGTTATATCATGTACTTGTTCAAGCTTGGAGTTATTTTTTAATTTTTTGGACACAAAAATAACAACTGAAATTATAGGTTACAATATAGGTAGGTATTTCAGAAGAATTCAGCACAAACCCATAATTGAGCTCTCTTCCAGGAAACCTTAAGATATTGACTTATTATTATTAAATTATTTTATATACTTTATAATTCGTTTTTTTTTGTAGTTCACTAATTATGTATGTACTGGTATATGTGGTTAATCTCTTTAGGAGGGTAGGTTCATAAATACATACAAATATGAAATTGTCTATATGTTTGATGTATCTTAAGTAAGGGGCGACTGTGGGTTTAGTTTTTCATGGTGTTTTTGTCTGTGTGTCAAAACACAATTTTTGAGATGGGAAAAAAACCATTGAACTCGTGACACTGTTACCGTTACCGACACCTCTGTATATAAGTGTATAAGATTTCACTTCTGTAGGCATTCCCGGAATGCCACTGTTTTTTTATGTATGTTCGGGCACAACTCCGTCATATATAGATGGATTTTTAAAATTTCTTTTATTTAAAGACACCTGTATGTCTCCGATAACTTCACTCAATCGGTGAAATGTAACGAAAGATTTGCTTAACACCGGTCTTCTGTGAGACCGCCGTATCACTCCAGTTATGTGGACCCATTTGAGCCATTTCCAGTTTTTACATGTATACTTTTACAAAAAATCTTAAAGAAATCTTGTTTAAATCTGTTTTAATACATAAACAAGATGCAATTCCCTGTGTACTCTACGAGCAAACTCAACAATGGTTAGAACGTCATAAGTACATAGTTACTGCGTTCATATGTATATCTTTAATTCATAGCTCGTCCATTTTCGCACTAACAGGAAAAGTATGTAATCTCCTCATATGTATGTACCGCGTACAGTACGTAACGTAATCAGTGCCGCTGTTGGATCGTCATCCAATATTGAAACGGGAAACAGTTCCGCGCCAGTGGCGTGGCGGAGCGGCTCCATCGCGTTTCCTATCGCAAATTGTGTCTGTGCTGCATGTGGGAATATTTTGGGGGCGTTTGATTAGGTACAAATGTAGGTATATGTTTGTTGAGCGATAGTGTGCTATCATTGCTTTCTAGAATTCTGATGCGCATTTCAAACATCCGACGTTTTTGAATGAGATTGAAATGTGCCGTTTTGACATATAAATATTTGTTTCCCACCCGAGATTTAATCTTTTTGCTTACCTCAATTTACCTTTGGATGATTACAATTAGAATTTAGTAAACATTCTACAGCAAATCTTTACGAAGTTAAACACTACTAACCTCACATTGAATTGGGAAGTTAGATAAAGATGATGATACCTGAATATTACAAGGTCTCTTATAACACCTTAAAAATCATTTTCTTAGGAACCCAAGACCAGATAAATCCTTTTATTCGGATTCCTGTAAAATTCTGGAACAAAAACGACTGCCAGTATATTGATTCTCTTTGAGTAAAAGTAACTATGTATATGTATAATGTTTAAAGAAGCTCTGGAAAAACCACTCACCAAAACAATAGCAAGATACGAGTACTTTATCAATATATCGGGGTTTTGTCTTGGGATTTATCGTTGTCTAGTTTTCGCCCTTGATTTTGTACATTGAATTCATTTTCTATCCCTCATTCACAGTAGGTACTTATTTGCCAGATAAAATGTCCCTTTACCCCTTTCTGTCAAGAAGAATGCAAAATTACATATGAATTCTCAATTAGGCAAATGGCGTTTTTAATTCGAAGAAATACAATCTAAAAGTTGCTTGATTAAGGCATTGACTCGTTTATTATTTAAATGAGCTGGAAACGTGTTATTTAATATTACTGTTTGTATCCGATAACGCCTGAATTATTAAACTAAATTAATTCGTTCGGACAATTTGAAAGTCAAGGTCTCGTTCGAGATAATGTGTTTTGACAGATTGAAAAGTTAAATAAAATACGCATTAATATTTATGTAATATGATTATGCATAGGTATGTATTAATATTGTGAATAATAATTATTATTTGGTTTACATTACCATTTACAACGAACAACTTAGTTATTCAGTGTAATCAAAATTTACAGTAAAACAGAGCAAAAAGATTTTTTTTCGTCACAACAAAGAATATTTATTTAAGATCGCTACAAAATGGGGGAGTATTAGTGGCACTGCGAGCGCTCCTTTTTGTGTTGCTAGTGTAAAAAAATAGTGTCGTTTTGGTCGAAATACAGAAGTGGTCCAATTTACCCTCCTCTATATTAGATTTCTTAACCAACATTATTGATGCCGCCGAAGTATCACGAATGGTTTTGTACTCGTATTTGTTAATAAAATAAAACCTAAATTGTATCGTACTTAAAAAGTTAATACTTTGTGATCTATTATGGCCCAACATTAAATGTGTCACATCAAAAACTACTTTCGCCATTTTTCACTGCATTTTGGTAGTCATTATGTGGAAAGTTAGTGCATCTTTTGTTTTTTTTTTGTTTTTTTGTTTTAATCAGTTGTTGCATATACATTACTTAACTGTAGTATAAAATGCAGAAAATAAATATTGATATCTATTGCAAATATATTGTAAGTAGATAATGTAGTGTAAAAAAAGTTCGCATTTTATACGCTGCAGTACCGTTCATCCGATTTTCATAAAGATTCACATACTCATTTCCAGGCATATAGATCAGGATATAGGGTACTATTCATAAACAAGAGAATGGACCGAAATTTTTTGTCTATTATAAGAAATTGATCGTCCGTGTGGTGACGGATTAAGAATACAGAGTGTCACCACCCCTATTCATCCCGTGGGAGTCGTAGAGGCGACTAAGGAAGCAAACTACGCAGAACAACAGCACTGCAGAGAGAAGGAAAACTTGAAACAAACCATATACCAACCCGTCTGGCCAGCGTGGTATAGTAGGCCCAAACCTCCTTCTGGCCTATGTCCAGCAGTGGACTAGTAAAGGCTGTGGATGATGATGATTGATGAATAAATTGATTGTCTACTGTAACTAAATTCTTGAAAAATAACTAGAAGTTACAATACGCGGCGTGTAATAACATTTATTAATACTCAGCTTACATCGCGTGCTTAGTACAATAAATAATTGTTAAACGGTGTTCTTTACGCTATAATTGTTAACATAACTGTTAATTCGTTCAAGACTTTAGCAGATAACGTTATGCAGCGTGTACTAGTAAGAGTCAATAGTGTGTTTGTAGTGGTGAGCAACTGCCCAAGACGTTTCTTCAAAGTGCAGTGTAGTTTTAGGGTTAGAAATATATTATTTATGTGTGTATAACGGGAAACATATAACGAGAAATCGGCCACGCTGTTATGTATTCTGTGGCGGACAATGAATACTACTTTTTTTTATTAATTGGATAATATATAATGAACACTGTTGGGCAAGGCACAAACGGAATAGTGGAAGTTTATTTTACAAACTACTAACTTTGCTAGTGGTAATCTAAATTTAGAAAATATTATTTAAGAAAAAACGGGATGAAAGTAATAATAATAATACCCTCACAAATCTCACACACGGCTGTCTGATCCCAAACTAGGGAGAACCTGTACTATGGTGACCAGACTTCTGATAAATATACATATATATTTCTAAATACATACATATTATAGATAAATTACACCCAGACACAGAACAAATTATCGTGCTCATCACACAAATATTTGTCCTGGGTGCGAATCGAACCCACGACCTCCGGCTTAGCAGTCAGGGTCACTAACCACTAGACCAACAGGCCCGTCAAAGAAAAAAAGAAAAGTACCCTTTTTTCCTTTTTGTGTATGCAAAAGTTTAGGATAATATAACAGGTTAAATAAATTATGGAATCGTACTCGTAGTAAAAAGAAAATACATTCGTAAAAATATTATTAAGTAAGGATATAAAATTTAATCATTATTCTTTTCTAGGTATGTTCACTTTTGTAATCCTAACGTTTTCTTATGTGATTCTATATTGTTACAGAAAGAATCCCGTACAGACGTACAGTTCCATCTGGCGGCACTAAGAGGCGATTGTGATAGACTTCGTCAGCTGCTCGACACGGGGAAAGTTCACATCGACTCCAGGGATAGGGTAAGTTACATATCCAGTATTTTTAAAATCAATCAAAATCATAATATGTAATAGATTTATAAATATATAAGTTCGTGAGGTTCTGTTACTTTTTTACGCGAAAGTTACTGAAAGAATTTGCTTAAAATTTGGCACAGAGATCGTTTGTGACTTTGATTAGCACATGAGAGATTATGCAATAATAAAAAAACCCACGCAGGTAAAGCTGTTGGAAAAAAAGAGGCCAAACGAGCAGACGGGTCATCATCACCCCCTCACGTACGTAGGTACCACTTATGGACATCTGCAATTCAAAAGTTTCAAGCCCGTTGCTGCCAGCCGTTCCCCATAATAGGGGAAGGAGTGGGTTTGGGTTCCAGTTACCTCACTCACTCGGTGATAACTAAGAAGCAACGAAAAATTGCTTAACAGAGTTTTCTGTGAGGTCATAGTATCACCCCGGTCGAGCTGATCTATTTGAGCCGAGGGCACACCTCTCCCATGGTTAACTTGTATGCAGAAGTATCGAGTAGATCGGAAGGGAATATAGTTCAACCGACTGCACGGATGGCGTAGTGGTCTAAGCGGTCGCCACGCCGCTTACTACTAAGCTGAGTGTTGTCGGTCCGATCCCTACACGGGACGACACTTTGTGTGGTCCACAAATTGTTGTTCTGAGTCTGTGTCCGTTGTGTCCGTTTCATGTATGATTTTCAAAGTCCTTCGCGACACAGGATTTATTGCTAGTGCGGGTTCTCTTTAAAAAAAAAAGTTGTCATAATTGGTCCAAACTACAGGGCAGAGATTGCAATTAGGTAGAAAGAACTAGGAGGACGAGGTGAATAGAAGAATGCAGCTTGGTTGTCAGCGGCTGGGAAGCTACGTCGAGTCTTCTCTGGCTAGCGGGAACTAGATGCAAGAAGCCGAGGATCGACTTAAGTGGCGTACAATGGGAGAGGCCTTTTTTTTTTTTTTTTTAACGTGTGTAAATCCCCTCGGACCGTCACCCCTCCGGGGTTTGCGGCGGGGTGGTGTGTCGGACTCGGACCGACTAAAACCACACGGTGTGCCACTCTGCGCCTGTAACAGGAGGGATCCGGGAACAGCTGTTGTTAAGACATCCGGACCCCTCCTAGCGCCAGCCCGCTCCTGGTGCGGGCTCCGTCTCAGTGTTTTTCCTCTCTTTATAGGCGACGTCCGGCACACGCGGACGCCGCCCCCTCGCGGCTGGCCAAACTAATGCGGGTGGAGGGGAAACCCACCCCGTCCACCCGCGGCCACACTCAGGGCGGCATGAGGCTGTGATAGGCGGGCCTCCGCCGCCCGGTTCGCCGGCCATGCGGGGCAGACCGCCAGCGTGTGCTGGGCCGAGTCCTCACTGCAGTCGCAGTGGTGGCAGGCGGGACTCAGTTCCCTCCTAGCGACCGTGTGCAGGTACTTTCCGAAGCAACCGTGCCCGGAAAGCACCTGCGTCAGCCGGAAGGAAAGGGTCCCGTGCTGCCGCCCTGCCCACTCGGCGATGACCGGCTGGAGAGCCTCCACGGCGGCGAAGCCAGCGCGTGGAGTCTCCAGCCGGAACGACCAACGAGCCATCGTGGCTCGGCGAGTGGCTTCGCGCCACTCGCGCACATCCTCGGGCGGAGGGCGAAATCCGCTCTCCGCCCGGAAGTCAGCCACTCGCCGATAAACTTCGGCGAGCACTTCCGCCTCCAAATCCCACGGGGGAGTTCCGGCCAACGCGCATGCCACCTCCGTCGACACGGTGCGGTAACCGCGTATGGCTCTGACCGCCATTACCCTCTGAGGGCGCCAGAGGCGTACCTTATTCTGGGCGGTCAGAGCCGCCGCCCACACCGGTGCACCGTACAGTGCCATTGACCGGACAACCCCCGTGTACAGCCGTCTTGTCGCGACGCTGGGTCCACCCATATTGGGCAAAAGTCGCCCTAGGGCAGACACAGCGCCGACCAGCTTTGGAGCAAGCTGTCGGAAGTGCTCGTCGAAGAGCCACCTCCCGTCGAGGATCAGGCCCAGATATTTCATCTGGGCCCGAACCGGTACGAGGACCGAGTTGACCACGATTGAGGCGCCAGGGGGTGGACCACGACGGGGCCCATGAAATAACAGGGCCTCCGTCTTATCTAGGGCCACCCGTAAGCCCAGCGCCTCAATGCGCCCGACCACCAGGGAGACTCCCCCTGTGGCCAGGCGCGCCGCCTCTTGGAAGTTTGCCCCCCGGGCTGTCACCAGTGTATCGTCTACGTAACAGATTACACCCAGCCCGGGGGGGAAATCGGCGCGAAGGGCCCAGTCGTACCCTATGTTCCACAAGAGGGGTCCAAGAACAGACCCCTGTGGAACACCGCATGACATGGGCCGACACCTCAAATTACCTTCTCGGTCCTCGTACACGACGGTACGCTCCTCTAAATAGTCTGCCACTAGCCGCCTCAGGTACTTTGGCACCCCATGATAGTGGAGTGCTTCCCTGATGCAGCTGAATGGCAGACTATTGAATGCGTTGGCGATGTCTAATGACACCGCCAACAGCACGCCGCCACAGCTCACGGCCTCTTCGGTCACGGCCCTCAGGCGCAACACGGCGTCGACTGTCGAACGCCCCGCCCGAAAACCAAATTTTGCGTCCGACAGATCGGGGCCCACCTCGCAGAGGTGCCGGACGATGCGGGCAGAAAGAACCCTCTCAAACAATTTGCCCGCCTCGTCCAGCAGCACGATGGGCCTATAGGCCGCGACCGAATCGGCAGGCCGACAATGGGAGAGGCCTATGCCAACCAGTGGACTGCGTTAGGCTGATGATGATGTACCGAAATGAACATACTTCTGCATATTCGTGTAATGTTATACATACATGCACGCTACGTGATCAAATTCACTATAGCGTGACGAAGCACGATGTACAGAATGCCTTAATTACTCTATACAAGAAGAGATAATAATTAATTGTTAATTGAATTGAAATAATCCGCAAACAGCACAGAGATTGCTCTTGCATGGAAATTAATATACAGATCAGAGTATGATGTCGGGCGAAACTGAAGAAAACAAGCAATAATATGAAAGCCACATGAAATATATTAACATTCTAGCTTCTGCTCGCGGCTGCCCCGCGTGTATGTCGGTTACTGCGGTAACCTATGTCCTTCCTCAAGAATCAAACTATCTCCATAACAAAATTCGCCTCAGTCGGTTCAGCGGTTATTGATTCCTCATATAAGCTTCCACCCCCCTTTTCAGCCCTTTTAAGTATGATTTCTGTGATAAAAACTATCCTATGTCCTTTCCCGGAACTCAAACTATCTCTATACGAAGTTTCATCTTAATCGGTTCTGCGGTTTAAGCGTGAAGAGGAAACAGACAGACAGACACGCTATCGCATTTATAATATTAGTATGGATATTAATAAGAATTTGAACAATTACAATCAATCAGTTGGCGGTACGCGACCTGCTGTCCATGCTGCTCGAGCTTACACTCCCGAATCCTTCCGCATAAGCCATATTGTCTTCTTACCTGTTACGTACTGTTTTTTTTCTTTTAGTTACATGCTTTCTTGTAATTTCCTTCTTACGTATCCTAACTTTCAATCCATCGTAGGAGAGGCATGCTTCGGCACCACTGGGCCCGCTCCACTGGAGTGATATCACGGCATCACAAATAACCGGTGTGTAGCAATTATTTCTGCTTTTCGCCGAAAAAGTGAGGTAAACGTAGCCCAATCCCCACCCCCTTAATCCTCCCCTCTTGAGTTACAGCTGCCTGTGGGCGGCGGTTGTCACTTACCGTCCGGTTACCCAAGAACAGGGATTCCCAAATTATTTTGGGCAGGAGTCCCCTGTTCTAAAATAAACTGATATCTCAGACCCCCAAAAATAGCCAAATTACTGCATGCTTATCGAGCTGTTGAGTTTTTTAAAAGTACAACAATGAAACTTCCTACTTCAATATTAGTTATTTTTATAATAAGTTGATACACGTAACAAACCTAATACAGTATTTTGAAAGTTACAAATAGGAACTTGTGCTAATTAATAGGGGTCGATAGTTAGACCTCGTCGACCCCAAAATCAGTTTTCATTTATGTCGAACTCTAGGTAACCTCGACCACTTTGGGAATCCCTGCCCTAAAATATGAGCATACACTACTCTTCTGTCTACGTCTTTCGTAGATATAATCGCGAGTGTATTGTATGCAGTTATAATTTTAGATAAACCTACTCCAGTGGGAAAACCGAAAAGGGAACCTCCTCCTTTTATTGAAGTCAGCTAAAAAAGATATGAGGAAATAAAATGATTTTTCTAGAGCCAGCGGCTAAGAAATAAATGCTTAATTTTTCGATTTACGCTCACGACGCAAGCGTATGAAGACGAGCTTCCATATTTCCGTCTCTCAGGACGGCCCTATTCATTTCCTTTGTGCCTCGGCTATGAAAAACCTCTTCAAATGCTAAAACGTGACAATTCCCCATATCGAAATCGGTCCTGTGTGGTTCTTACTCAACAAATTGATGATTCTGCGAATAAGTCACTTGAATCTCGTAAAATACGCTGAATATATAGAAGACATTTTCTTACCATTCATAGTCCGTGTGTTGACAGATTAAGAATACGGATTGTCACCACCCCCGTTCATCCCGTGGGTGTCGTAAGAGCCGACTAAGGGAGCAAACTAAGCAGGACAACAGCACTGCAAAGAGAAGGAAAACTTGAAACAAACCCTATACCAACCCGTCTGGCCAGCGTGGTATAGTAGGCCAAAACCTCCTTTCTAAGGAGAGGCCTATGTCCAGCAGTGGACTTGTATAGGCTGTTGATGATGATGATGATGATGATGTGAGATTGATGTCGGTCGGATTAAGAGAAGGCTGTGTTGTTGTTGTTACTTCACTACAATACAATGCAAACAACATTTAAATATATTGTTATATCTAAAGTTCGCAATAATCCAAAAATAATCTCATTCACTGCTCCTGAAGAACAAACTCATTATCCTTGGATAA